GTATGGTTTTCATGATGGATGCGATGGTGTGTTTTTAAGTTACACTTATATGTAAAATCTTTCTTGCAAACAGTGCATTGGAAGGGCTTCTCTCTATTGTGGGCTCGTTCATTGTGCATTTTTAAGTGATCCTTACGTTTATATGCCTTGTCACAGATTGTACACTTAAAAGGCCTCTTGTTACTGTGGATGATTTTGTGGGTCAGCAAGGAAGTCTGTCTTGTAAAGGTTTTATGGCATATTGTGCATTTGAATGACTTCACTTCACTGTGGCCTTTTTTATCTGTACTTGCACTGGTATGGTTTTCATGATGGATGCGATGGTGTGTTTTTAAGTTACACTTATATGTAAAATCTTTCTTGCAAACAGTACATTGGAATGGCTTCTCTCCAGTGTGGAGTCGCTGATGGAGCTTAGCACTGCTCTTACATGCAAAGGTTTTATTGCATATTGTGCATTTGAATGACTTCTCTTCTCTTCCCTGGTTCTCTGAGCTAGTGCCTTGTGCTAAGTCTTTATGGTGGATTCGATGGTGTTTTTTTAAGTTCTCCTTATATGTAAAATCTTTCTTGCAAACAGTGCATTGGAAGGGCTTCTCTCTATTGTGGGCTCGTTCATTGTGATTTTTTAAGTGATCCTTACGTTTATATGCCTTGTCACAGATTGTACACTTAAAAGGCCTCTTGTTACTGTGGATGATTTTGTGGGTCAGCAAGGAAGTCTGTCTTGTAAAAGTTTTATGGCATATTGTGCATTTGAATGACTTCTCTGTTGTTTGAATTGCCTGTTGTTTCTTTGTATGATGCAGTACACCACTTCCCTCTAGATTGCTGCTTACTTTATTCTTGTGTGCTTCTTTGTGAATCTTTAAACTGTTCTTATGGGCAAACACTTTATCACAAGAGTCACATTTAAAAGGTTTTGTTCCATTGTGTATTATCTTTTCATGATTSTCCAAGTGCCTCTCACACTTGAACCCCAAGTTACACTTTGAACATTTGAACAGCTTGTCATCTTGTGAAGGTTGATGCTGATTCTCAGGAGAAAAGCAATCCTTTTCATTTTCAGAAATATCTTCATCGTCTTCATCTCCTTCAGAATAAGAACCATGATTGACCTGAAAAGTGTCTTCATTGACTTCAATGTTGCTTGGTTGCTGAATGTCATTATCACTATCATCACTTAATTCTATGTAATCAATGTCTTCAAGTAAATCAACATCAAGTGCCATGTTTTCATCCAGCTCTGTGTCTCTTGTTAGTGTAGTAGAGTGAAGCCTGTTGGATACATTAGATGACACTGAAAGTAGCTCTTCATTTTCATCAGTCGTAATAGCTTCTGATTGGACTGACTTGGAAACCAGACGTTTGGTTTGGTTTGTTGATAAATGCTAATCAGTTTGGCTGGCTGTGCAAGTTAATTCTGGCATGCATCGACCTTTATTGAACCTTTTCTAGTAAATTGAAGAATGGCAATAGAATTAGTCTTAGTTCTTTTTGGATTGGGAATAACTAAAACATAAAAAGAATCTATTGTTGTCAAACTGCTAATATACTTGAAGACTTCTTTATGTCAGGTTGTATATATCTGACTCCACATACTTAAAAATATGTACATGCATGACTGTACCCTATACCAATGAAAACAATAAACCTCTGCATATGTGTACTTTAAGACGTGTCTCAGCGAGCCAATTTTCGCTTGCGAAAGTAACACAATTTTCTCAACATCATCAGCGCGCGATGGGATCACACTTCTAGCCGGCCTTGCGCAAATGACGCAATGCAACAGCTGAAAAAAATCACAGAAAAAAGTTGCGGCAAACTAAATGAGTTGAACTCTTTGCAACAATTTTGTGGACTTCCTCACTCGTGTAGCCACTCTGCAACTTTGTCCTTGTACTTTGCGCTTGCAATGTGACTAAATTACATATTTAAACCCCAATATGGTTCGAGAACACCTTTGGCGACAGGATTTGTTGAAGTGTAGTTTTCATGTAAAGTATGTTTAGAGAGGTTTTTTTATTATTATCATTTTTAGAGAGTTTTAGATTCACGTTTACTGTATCCTGCTTACATTCGTTCCTGCTACGTTTACTGCAAACGCTTTTATAATTTGCCTCAAAATTTTAAATAACGCTTTGAANTTGTAAAGGTTTTATGGCATATTGTGCATTTGAATGACTTCACTTCACTGTGGCCTTTTTTATCTGTACTTGCACTGGTATGGTTTTCATGATGGATGCGATGGTGTGTTTTTAAGTTACACTTATATGTAAAATCTTTCTTGCAAACAGTACATTGGAATGGCTTCTCTCCAGTGTGGAGTCGCTGATGGAGCTTAGCACTGCTCTTACATGCAAAGGTTTTATTGCATATTGTGCATTTRAATGACTTMTCTTCTCTTCCCWGGTTCTCTGRGCTAGTGYCTTGTGCYAAGKMTTTATGGTGGATTCGATGGTGTGTTTTTAAGTTCCCYTTATATGTAAAATCTTTCTTGCAAACAGTGCATTGGAATGGCTTCTCTCTGTGGTGTGTTTGATTATGTTGCATAAGACCAGTCTTTTCTTTATTGAAGATTCTACTTTTAAATCGTTTTCCTCCAGTATCTCTACCGTGCTKTGAGTGCTGGGCATTTGCATGAYTCTTTAGATGATGCTGTTGTCTAAAAGCTWTRTTGCAGATGTTGCATTTAAATGGTTTCTCTCCACTATGCATTCGATGGTGSAYMTTTAAACTGTGTTTACTTGACAACGTTTTCATGCAGATATTGCACWTGAATTCTTTCTCTCCTCTGTGTATTTGAATGTGGAGTTTCAKGTACCCTTTTTGTTTAAAGGTTTTATGGCATATTKTGCATTTGAATGACTTCTCTGTTGTTTGAATTGCCTGTTGTTTCTTTGCATGATGCAGTACACCACTTCTCTCTAGATTGCTGCTTACTTTATTCTTGTGTGCTTCTTTGTGAATCTTTAAACTGTTCTTATGGGCAAACACTTTATCACAAGAGCCACATTTAAAAGGTTTTGTTCCATTGTGTATTATGTTTTCATGATTCTCCAAGTGCCTCTCACACTTGAACCCCAAGTTACACTTTGAACATCTGTACAGCTTGTCATTTTGCGAAGGTTGATGCTGGTTCTCAGGAGAAAAGCAATCCTTTTCATTTACAGAAATATCTTCATCTCCTTCAGAACAAGAACCATGATTGGCCTGAAGAGTGTCTTCATTGACTTCAATGTTGCCTGGTTGCTGAATGTCATTATCACTATCATCACTTAATTCTATGTAATCAATGTCTTCAAGTAAATCAACATCAAGTACCATGTTTTCATTCAGCTCTGTGTCTCTTGTTAGTGTAGTAGAGTGAAGCTTGGGTGCATTTTCATCAATTGCAATAACTTCTGTTTGGACTGACTTGGAAACCAGACTTTCGGTTTGGTTTGTTGATAAATGCTCATCAGTTTGACTGGCTGTGCATTTCAATTCTGGCATACATCGACCTTTATTGAACCTTTTCTAGTAAATTGAAGAATGGCAATAGAATTAGTCTTAGTTCTTTTTGGATTGACGCAATGTAACAGCTGAAAAAATCACAGAAAAAAGTTGCGACAAATTAAATGAGTTGAACTCTTTGCAACAATTTTGTGGACTTCCTCACTCATGTAGCCACTCTGCAACTTTGTCCTTGTACTTTGCGCTTGCAATGTGACTAAATTACATATTTAAACACCAATATGGTTCGAGAACACCTTTGGCGACAGGATTTGTTGAAGTGTAGTTTTCATGTAAAGTATGTTTAGAGAGGTTTTTTTTATTATTATCATTTTTAGAGAGTTTTAGATTCACSTTTACTGTATCCTGCTTACATTCGTTCCTGCTACGTTTACTGCAAACGCTTTTATAATTTGTCTCAAAATTTTAAATAACGCTTCGAAAGGAACAGTGATGCGCTTATGCACAAAAAAGTGATCTATTTTATCCACAATAGCAAAAAAATGGAGCGTTAATAAAGAAAAACAGTGATCACGTGATCAGTTTTGGCGTTCTCCGTAAACCTGTATCTAAAACTCTCTAATATGTCGATCATCACTTTTGCGTTTTGACTTTATAATCTTAAC